GCACGATCCATTTTTAAACACAAACATGTTTTGTTCATTTCTGACACTGCTCATATAAAATATGTCAGGAACATTGTTTGGTTTTGCTAAGAAGCATGACAACTTCTAATGCGTAGGATAGAGGTCCTGGTCAACTTCAGGAAAAATTAGAGCTTCCTGCCCCCATGTGGCTAATCAATGATATTGCACCTTTAAACTCCAAACGAGTTAGAAAAAAAGTTGGCCGGGCGCGGTGGTTCACGCCTGTAATCCCAGCACTTTGGGAGGCCAAGGCGGGTGGATCACGAGGTCAAGAGATCGAGACCATCCTGGTCAACATGGTGAAACCCTGTCTCTACTAAAAAATACAAAAAATTAGCTGGGCATGGTGGCTCCTGCCTGTAATCCAGGCTACTCAGGAGGCTGAGGCAGAAGAATTGCCTGAACCCAGGAGGCGGAGGTTGCGGTGAGCCGAGATCGCGCCATTGCACTCCAGCCTGGGTAACAAGAGCGAAACTCCGTCTCAAAAAAAAAAAAAAAAAGTTAAGTGATACCACCCCAGGCTTTTCTCAGAAGTCTGACCACAGCATTAGTTGAGAGGCTGGAAAACATGCAGCAATGTCTACCCCAATTTCTAAATAAACTGTTAATGTAGCGTATGTGAGATTACTTACGGCTCCATGTTGACATTATTTTAGACAAATTGCAAGGTAAATGTGAACTTCAAATCAGAGGCGGTTTTATGTTCCAGGTCTACATATGCAAAAGGTATGAGTCCTTGTTTATCTTTAAACCCTCTGAGAGCTGTATTAAAGGGTGATGTAAGGTCCCCACCCCACATATCTAATTTTGTAGGGAACTGAATCGTAGTGATACCAACAATAAATAACATAACAGTACTATAAGTAGAGTGCTTACCCTGAGCTGGGTGCTGTTCTGGGAACCTACATGTCTTATCTCTGGCTCCTCACAGCAGCTCCAACTAATAGGTGCTTTTACCTTTTTACCGTTCAAAGAATGGGCATTCACAGAAGCTGTGACTTGTCCACTATAAAAGGTGCTAGGTAGCATCAATATTCAAGTCCTGATCATGTAACTCCGCCTACACTCCTTACCACTATGCTGTGTATTCCTGTGTCAGTGGGGCTTCAAGTATTCTGGATAATGTTAATCTTGGCTCTCTGTTTTCGGATAATTCCACAAAGGAACAGAAAACAGCCCAGGAATTTTCATGCAACAGGTAACTCAGCAGAGCTTCTGCCCCGGACCCTGGCTGGCAGAGAGCTCTCAGGTGTTCTCAACAGAATTCTCAACAGTAGGCTCACTGCGTGCACCCACCCCTCCAAAACAGCCAGTTGGGACCCTTTGAGTTTGTGGTCTCTACACACAGCAATCTGAAAGACCCAAAGCAAGTTACTTTCTCCCTCTGGATCTTATTCTCCTTACCTATAAAAGAGATTGAACTAAAGATTTATGTTCTAATATTCGATTATCTAAATGAAATAGTCTAGAATCTGGTAAAGAGGTTTATGTTATGAAATTGTCAAATTATTTAATCACACTAACACTTGGAGAATTTCACTGAGTATGTAAAATTAGAAGTGACGGAAAGATGAGCTTTTAACTTTTGTTCATGGTGGCCCAGCTCTGTCAACAGGGCTAGATCCTTAAAGGTGAATTAAAAATTATTAAACAGGTATTCGCACTTATTTTTGCATTCTCAATGCCTGATGCAGGACCTGGCTAATAGCAGATACAGAAGGGAAAGATGGATGGATGGATGGGTGGTTGGATAAGTGGTTAGGAAGATGGAATGGATGGGAAGATAGGTGGGTGGATGGATGAATAAATGGATGAGTTAGTTGATGGTATTGTAAAAACTGACCAGAAGATAAAATGGAATGGATGAAAGACTAGTTGGGAAAGATGGATGTCATTCAACTGTCCTTAGGTATTAACCTAATAAACCTGGAGCCTGGGCCATCTTTTCATGCAAGAGCCCACCATTTCCTGGAGTTAGCACAAGAAAAGTTAAGGCTTCAGCCCTTTACAATTAAGTATATTATTGCACGGAAATTTGCATGACTTACTCGGTTGGAGATTGAACTGAGTAATTCTGGTTCTCAGGAACATTCAACTCCAACATTATACACTGATACATTGAACAGGGACTTAAAAACCCAAAGGAAACTATCTGATTTGTGGAAAAGGTATTAGATTTAATTTCAGGACAACTCATTCTAAACCCGCCTCAGATACTTGCTAGATGACCCACCTGCTAGATGACCTTCAGGAAGTCACCAGCCGTCACTTGCCTCGTTTTGTTATTCATGTTAATACTGTTGCTCCGTGTTCTGGGATTATCAGGCAAAGGAAATGTAAAGGGTTTGGTGGGCCTGAAAACTGCTAGGCACCCCCTCCCATCTCCCTCCAGCCAAGCTCTTTCTCAAGGGTTTTCCATGCATTACCTTGCCCAGTCATCACAGTGGCCACATGTGACAGGAATTGTTCCAGTGCTGTGGCCGATGCAAGTGGGGATTGTAGAGGTCAAGTAACCTGCCCAAGATCCCTGAGTCTATTCAGTGACAGAGATGGAACCTGAACCTAGAACAGTGGGTTGTGTTGATAATCAGTTTGTGTTGATAATCAGTTCACTCCACCAACTCTGAGACAAGACCTTCCTTATTCCCCTTTACTGCTCAGCTCATTATCACACAGCTGCAGTGAGTCAAAACCAACCGTCCAGTGTGCCAATTAAGTGAGTACAGGTGGGCAAGCTATGGGAATTCACCTGGAAAGCAGGCATTAGCAAAATGGCCCTGTTACATTGCTTACACGTGAAGTGGATTTTTTAAAACTGCCACTTTTGCAGAGATTCAAGTGTTTTTCTCCAATTATGCATTGAAAACCTGCCCGAAAAGCTAGGTTGACCCTGTATATTCAATAATTACACTGTCACTTGTGGCAACTCCGCTACACAGCATGGCGTCATTTGTGTCAACCTGCTGGCGTGAGAAATGTGTGCCTAGCTCAGGTGCTGCCAGCCCCAGATCTCCCACGGTGCAGGGGGGGCAGTGCAGCAGGTGAGCACTGACACTGCCTGCTGCTGTGCTGCAGATACATAGTGTGAGTGTGAGCGCTCAGCTGCCCGATTGCCTCTGGGTCTGCTCACCTCCCGAGGAGCAGAAGCCCTGGTCACCCCATGTCACCAGGGAGAGGACTGGGCAGCCAGGCTATGTAAGGAGGATTCGCCTGCATGCAGGCTGCCCTCATGCCTCTCTCCCTCCATCCATTCATGTGTCCATTTCTTAGCAAAATGCCACAAAATAAGTGGCTTAGAAATGTGTCTCTGGTCTGAGGTTCAAAGTCCAAGGCATCAGCAGGGTTGGTTTCTTCTAAGGGCTGTGCAGAACAATCGTGCCTTTCCGCAGCATCTGGTCATCTGCAGGCAATTTTGGCGTTCCTTGGCTTCCACTGCCTCTGACTTCTGCCTTCATCTTCACATAGCATTCTCCCTGTGGGCATGTTTCCCCTTTGTATAAGGACACCAGTCATATTGGCCTAGGATCCCACCCTACTGCAGCATAACTTCATCTTAACTCATTTTATCTGCAGTGATCCTGTTTCCTAATGAAGTCAGATTCTAAAGCACTGAGAATCTGGACTTCCCATGAATTGGCAAACAGGAGGACACAATTCAACCTGTAACAATCCATTTCCAAACATTTTTTGAGCATTCATTATGTGACATACAAAGAAGTGAGCCTGGTTCTTCTTTGTAAGGCAGCTTACACGCTGGCATGTGCCCTAAGAGCTGCCCTCCAGGGAAGCCTAGAAGGCCAACCCGTGAGTGGGAGGGACACATGGTAAATGCCGCCTGATTTCCAGACTTCTGTGGGCGGAGAGGGCAGGTTTCATGGAACATTAGATCTGGGTCTTGATGGGATTCAACAAGTGGAGATGGAACAGAGGGCTCTGCAGAGGGGAGGAACAGTTAAGCAAAGTGTACGGCCCAGGAAGCAAAAGAGATGGTCACGCATTACCCGACTGTCCCCCGTAGGCGTTCTAGATAGTCCTGGTTATTATGTCACACACACCACAAACCTGGCCCAACACCAAAGGGCTGCTAAGCGAGGACAGTTTATGCTTCCCTGGGTGTCGCACTGTCCTGCCTGCCCTAACAAAACACCTTCAGCCTCACACTTTCTGCACACACCACTGCCACCTTCGGCACAGTCCTCAGCGGCAAGGTGACCCAGGTGCCTGGTCGCCACAGCATGCAGGCTTGGGCTAGCCCATTCCAGTGCCAGAAAGAAGACAGCTGTCAGTATTCTTGACCACATCACCACGTTCTTCACCCAGTTTTCCTTTAGCAAAAGTTTTTACAAAAAGCTCGTGGAGCACCTAATGTTCCACAGCAGTGCTTTGGGACCCTCGGCAGCAGATGGGCCTGACTGCCTGCCCATTGTTGTCCCGATTGGCCCCAGATGGGTGGCAAAGGGCCTGGCGCATTTCCCATCCTGGCCTCACACGTCAGTGAGGTCAGCTCCCAGCCCACTGCCCTGCTCCCTTTGAAGAACTGGATTAGCAGAGGCGATAAAGGCAGCTTTGAGGCCCAGTGCCTGAGCTTGGGGAATATTTACAGTGTGTGAACATTGGCGCTTTAAGGGAAGTATAAATCATGTCAGATTTATAGAGCCTGCCTCCTGGAAAAGCACTGATAAAAGGGCCACGTCTGCATTTTCACACATGAAAGAGGAAGAATAGAGTCTTCCTGGCATGTCTAAACAGGAACAGCTGAGCTCAGCTTCTCTTAGGGCTCATCTCCCTCTGTCCTCCACTATTCCCTGACCCTGGGTCATGCAGGCAGGACCCAAAAGCTGTAAAATCGTCCACAGCTGGCCCTTGCATGTCCCGCTGTCAGCTGCTCTGTCCCTGGGACCACCCTTCCCAACACTGTCTCTCCGGGTCTGGCTTGCATCCAGCCCACCAGACAGGACTGAGCGCATCTCCTTTCACAGGCCATGAGAAGTCTGAGAACGCTGTGAAAGCTGGAACTTGCTGTGCCACATGCAAGGAGTTCTACCAGATGAAGCAGACCGTGCTACAGCTGAAGCAAAAGGTAGGTGCCACCAGGGTGGGAACGGTAACGCGTGACGGGAGAAGGGCTTGGCCAAGGCCAGCTGGAAGAATATTTACAAATGATAGAAAATAAACCATTATCCACATTGAGCATTCACGCAGTTGATGCCAGTGAGGTTTGGACGGACTTGGGATGCTTTGCTCACCCTCAGAGCGGTCCAAGGGGCAACAGGACACAATGATGGTGAAGGATTGCAGAGGCGATTACTAAAATCAACACTAGGTAAGGGACACGTGGCAGAGCCATAGCGAGGGTGAGCTATGACGGTTGCAACTTCTCATAAATTTCAAGCTGAGTGTGGTGACTCATGCCCATAACCCCAGCATTTTGGGAGGCTGAGGCAGACGGATCACCTGAGGTCAGGAGTTCAAGACCAGCCTGGCTAACATCGTGAAACCCCATCTCTACTAAAAATACAAAAAAAGTAGCCAGGCATGATGGCAGGCACCTGTACTCCCAGCTACTCAGGAGGCTGAGGCAGGAGAATCACTTGAATCTGGAAGGTAGAGGTTGCAGGGAGCGGAGACGGCTCCATTGCGCTCCAGCCCAGACAACAAAAGCGAAACTCCATCTCAAACAGAAAAATGAATTTCCTGACATGTCCTGGGACCCTGTGTGTTTTATCTAAGATCTCTGTATTACTTATGGAGAATATTGTCTCTATAAACTGGCACAAGCTGATGAGGAATTTCTGCGGCAGCTTGCTTTCTCGCTTTTGAAAACTATAGTCTGTGCCCTTTCTGAGCTCCCTGCACCTAGAAAAGCATCCTTGTGGGCACTTCATGTCACCAAGGATGAGAACCAATGCAGTTTATGAAAGGCTGTATGAATGCCTGATGGAATATGCGGTTTCTAGTAACACCATTCTGCTGTAACGCCCTGGGATGGACCCGGCAATCTGACTTCTTGAACAACTGTCCTGAACCCAGATAAACAGTATTTATTATGCCTAAGGTCGGTCAGTTTGCTAGTTTGTCAGTGACTCAGAAATCACCCTCACACTGATAAAACATAATCTTCTTGGTTTGTTTATTTAACTGTTTCCATTCAAGGCTCTTAGCACATCAGAGAAGTGCGTCTGCACTGTCGAACTTTGGCATCCAGTGATGCTGAAGGGCTTGAGAGTAAGCATGAGATGGTATCTTTCCCATATTCAACAAACATGTAGCCAGCCCCTAATGAAAGCCACAGCTACCAGTTCAGTAAATAAACAGGCTGAGGAGAGAAATGGTTTGCAAGCCTTTTATTTTTACGACATTGACAATGTGATTAGCTTAACAGAAACTTGTATACATCTGATGGATAATTATGAATAAAATATAGATTTAACCCTAAATAGCTTATGATCCTAATAGGAAGACTAGGCAGAAAACCTTGTGTGTCTGTCACTATAAACACAGAGACATAAATACATCCAACACAGTTATCCTCAGGTTGAGCTTGAACTGATGTTAGTGGTATTGAACATACCCAGAGAAGGGTTGGAGGAAGAAGTAAGTTTGCATTTCATAAGCTGGAAGAGCTTGGGGCAGGTAGTTGATCAGTATCTTCAGGTGTACCTCTTAAGGCATAAAGCTACCCTCACTCTCCTTCCCTGGAAACAATTTGTATGCCTTAGGGAATTTACTTCCAACCAGGATGATGTTTACGAACAAGGGCGCTAAATATCACAGATTGTTCAGAAATACAGTTGCTAAATCAACATGTGGTTTTCCCTTAACCTCCCTGCCATGTTCTCTTGTGATGCATGAAAATAAAAATATGAAAAGAAGTGGAGAAATTTGCATCGAAATACTTTTCACCCTCAAAGACCCTGCTAGAGAGCTACATAAAAATCTACTAGGTCATCTTAATGCTCCAGTAACTCTTACACAATTGAGTTGGACTAGAATCGTTCTACCTTATACCAAAATCTTTCTGCAAATGCATTGGAGCAATCCCAAGCTAATGCAGACTTTCAAAGAATGTTATGAGGAGCGAGTCATTTCTAAAGGTTCCTATTAGAATGTCTTGCATTCTACAGCTTATAAAGCATTATATCCAGAATCCCATTTAATGAGCATCCTGACCCTGTGAAAAAGATACTGGTGGTCTCAGAGAGGTGAAATAACTGCCCGAGAGGGCAGACCTGAAACCTGGGTCCTCTCACTTCTACGCTCGTACCAGCGTTCGGATTGTCAGTTGGTTTTTAATATCATTTTGCTGCTGCTAATGCCATTTGTTCACAGAAGAATGTAGGACATCTGCTCAGATAAACATTAGCCAAGAAGGAGATGCCAGCGGTCCTAGACCACGGCCAACCCCAAGCATAAAATGGTGTTTAAACACGTTGCACTGTACCGCGAATGTACAGTCAGCAACATTCCAACCGCGAGAAATACTACAGGTCAGATGGCCTGGGTTCTGGTAGTCTGCAGACAACAGGAAACTTAAAAGACCTATCACTTTTTAAATGAGCAAAACTAAACCATACTACCTAGGTGTGCACAGCTGGGTGATACATTATTTTTTTAAAAACAGGAAGTGATTAAAAGGAAAACGGGGACTTCTGGGGAAGAGTGGAGGCTGATTGGGACGGGCCCTGTGCAGGGAGGGGTCTAGGGTGGCTGGCAAAGTTCTGTTGATTGATTTGGGGGTTCTTTGAAAGAGTGCTTTTTTTTATTTTTAAGTTCTGGGGTCCATGTGCAGGATGGGCGGGTTTGTTACCGAGGTAAACATGTGCCATGGTGGTTTGCTCCACCTAAAGGGTGATTGCTTAATAATAATTTGCTAAGTTACTTGTCTCATGATGTTTCCACGTTCTTTATTTTGCAATAAAAACATGTTTTTAAATGATACATAGACCTCAGTGCCTCCACCTCTGCCACTTCTTCTGTGGCGTGGGAAGAAAACAAATGATTTGGTGAGAAAGGGAGAGGGGGGATAGATGAGATGCCCGTCATTTAAGTTTTAGATGGGTCTCTGTCCCACAAGAGCACTTAAAATTCAGTGCCAACTCGCTTGTCCTTTTTTTTTAAGTTGCTTGTGTTCTGGCAGCAGGAGCTATGGGATTTGAGAGTGGAATTGCTGCAGAGAGTCCTCTGGGAAGGGAGACTCCAGAAAGAGAGGCCTGTGCTAAACCTGTCCCGGACTGACTGGTGTGCTCAGCCTCCCTGGGTGGCTGCTTAGGGCGTTGAGAATCTCTGTCTCTTCTCTTAAGCCAGCAACTCTCTCCATGTTGAGCAGTTGTGGGAAGTGTGGATAATCATTCAGGAAGTCTTGTTGAGCACCTGCTGTGGGCTGGGAAATGGGGAAATACAAAACGCTATGGAGAGGATGCTGCCTGAAATAAACTTAGGTTTTACGGGGAAACCAAGCTAGCGGTGTGAAATCAGGAAACGATGGCCGAATGGAGTCGGGCCAGCAGTCAGGCTTGAGAATTTAGAGGCCCTAAGGTTTCAAGTGAGCAGATTTGCCACCCGATGGCTGCACTAGCTCACTCTAACACCACCTTTGCCTCTGGCAGGTATATGGCTTCTCAATAATGTGTGGTTTCCTCTGCTACTCTATAAAATGGGTCTTCCCAGGATTATTGGGAAGACCAATCCATATTAAAGTGACTGCAGGCCGGGCACAGTGGCTCATGCCTGTGATGTCAGCACTTTAGGAGACCAAGGCAGGTGGATCACTTGAGGTCAGGAGTTTGAGACCAGTCTGGCCAACATGGTGAAACCTCATCTCTATTAAAAAAATACAAAAATTAGTTGGGAGTCATGGTGGGTGCCTGTAATCCCAGATCCTTGGGAGGCTGAGGCAGGAGAATCACTTGAACCCAGGAGGCGGAGGTTACAGTGAGCTGAGATTGCACCACTGCACTCCAGCCTGGGTGACAGAGCAAGACTCAGTCTACAAAAAACATTTTTTAAGTGACCTTAGGTCACTGCTGGTTTAGTGGTTAGGAGCACAGATTCTGGAAGCAGATAGGCTAAGTTTAAATTCTAGCCCCACCATTTGCTGGCTGTGTGACTCTGAGTAAGTATTTAACCTCTCGGTACCTCAGCTCTACTTTTAAAAAATGACAACAATAAAACCTGCCTGGGGATTTTGTGATAACAAATGTTAATATTTATAAAGGACTGAGAACAGTGCCATCCATCTAGAAAAAGCTCTACAAATGTTTAGCAAGTAAAAATGTTATTTGTTAGCCCTCTACAAAGTGCTTTACAAGAGACATCTCACAGATGCATCCTAACAGCTCTTTGAGGCAGGAGCTCTCTTAAAAAGGTTAGCACAAGATAAATGATACACATAATTCCACTGACTGGAATCCAGGAGAAACGCAGACGCTTTATATTATTACAACCTTCCTCCCAAACTCCTGGCATCCCTCAGCCCATCCTCAGCTGTGTTTATGCAGAAAGTGGGGCCAGAGATTCTGGGCAGCCACCTCTAAAGGGCCAGTGCCTTCACTCTGCATTCATTCTGCTGCCGCACAGGGGCCGAAGGGAGCCAGGATGCAGCCACCCAACAGGAGGTCAGCTGGGACATTGAGGTCAACATTTGCCACCTTACCTTGTAACTTTTACAAGGCACCAAACGAAGCATAGAGGACTAGGGGCACAGGGAAACATCTCTGGAGCCCATCCATGTGCAGGTCTCATCCTGAGGTCCTGTTTACACAATTTTAAATATGAAGACTTGATCTTGTATTGAAAACAATTATTTTGTAGCCTTGAAAAGGAAGGATGAAGAGACTTAACAATATCACACAGCTACTTAGGAACAAAGCCAGGAGAAAGCCCAGACAGCAATTCTTTTTTTGTTGTTTGACAGAGTCTCACTTTGTCACCCAGGCTGGAGTGCAGTGGTGCAGTCTTGGCTCACTGCAACCTCACTGTCCTGGGTTCAAGCGACTCTCCTGACCTCAGCCTCCGGAGTAGCTGGGACTACAGGTATGCGCCACCACGCCCAGCTAGTTTTTGTATTTTTAGCAGAGACAGGGTTCCATGATGTTGGGCAGGCTGGTCTCCAACTCCTGACCTCAAGTCATCCGCCCCCCTTGGCCTTCCAAAGTGCTGGGATTGCAGGTGTGAGCCGTAGCACGCAGCTCGCCAGACAGCGTTTCTGCTGGGTCTGTGACTGGCTGGACGCTGGGTCAGCTGGGTCAGGCATGTTAAAGACGACATCACTTTAACCCTCCAGCAGTGCTTTCAGGTGGCCATTACCGTCCCTATTTTATAGATGAGGAAATCCAGGTTGTGTCGCTTACTCAAGATCCCGCAGGTAGAAAGTGGCAGGGCTGAGATGTTAAGGTACCTCTGCCTCATGCCAAGGCCCGGGGGTGGGATCAACATTTCAGGTTCTTAGTTGGAAGCCAATGATAAAATCGGATGAGGCTTCAGCTGCCAATGCTGACCCGCTGCCCCATGGCTGCAGTAGATTTACTGGTACATTTCACTCACTCACTGGTTCACTCCTCTTCCTCCCCAGGGCCACAGACACATACATGAAGGTTAGGTGATCTATTGCTATGACATGGGGATGTCAGCACCATTTTAAATGTGTCTCAGGGACACGGTTATGTCCCAATGGTGACTCTGAACCATGAGCCCTGACTTGAAATTGTGCAAAGCTACTTTCAGATTGTACGAGATTTTGATTCTTACAGTCATCTCTACTGAATTCTGAGTAACAATCACAGGGGAATTGTATCAGGGATCTCTAGAGGGACAGAACTAATAGGACAGATGTACGTATGAAAGGGAATTTATTAAGGAGAATTGACTCACACAGTCACAAGGTAAAGTCTCCCAATAGGCCGTCTGCAAGTTGAGAAGCAAGGAAGCCAGTGCTGGATCAGTCTGAGTCCCAGAACCTCAAAAGTAGGGAAGACAACAGCGCAGCCTTCAGTCTGTGGCTAAAGGCCTGAGAGCCCCTGGCAAATCACTGGTGTATGTCCAAGAGTCCAAAAGCTGAAGAACGTGGAGTCTGATGTTCAAGGGCAGGGAGCATCCAGCACAGGGGAAAGAGGAAGGCCGGAAGACTCAGCAGGTCTGCTCTTGCATCTTCTGCCTGCCTGCTTTCTTCTAGCTGCGCTGGCAGCTGATTAGATGGTGCCCACCCAGACTGAGGGTGGGTCTGCCTCTCCCAGTCCATTGACTCAATGGTAATCTCCTTTGGCAGCACCCTCACGGACACACCCAGGAGCAATACTTTGCATCCTTCAATCAAGTTGACACTCAGTATTAACCATTGCAGGAATTGAACCAGCGGCATCCCTAGCAGGGCAGCATTCCTTCTGTCTTTCATGGAGCACTAGGTCTTCTCAAAGTGTGGAGGAAAATCCTACGTCTGGAAGGCAGTGATGGTCAGGAATGTCTTAGCCCATGAGCCTGCAAGGCTGTCCTTTCCCTGGGACTTTAGAACTAGCTAAAGGGCTCTGAGCCTTTCTAGGAGTGTGTGCTCAGAAGTCCTAAGGATCCTGAGGGCACCCTTTGGAAGACAGTGTCAAAGCATCTAAAAGACGCTCTGTTTCCTGTCCCTTGAACATCCTTGCACTCTAAGCTGGGTAGATTTCAGTAGGTTTGATTTCACTTGGCACCCCAGATGGGAAAAAGTACCCTCTTGAGGAGGTTCCAGACTAGGGATCATCCCAGATTCAAATAGAACACTTGGGAAGCTGAAGTGGGAATAGAACTCTTGACTGCAGGAAAGCCTGCCCCCTGCTCTGCAGGTATGTGAGGGAGACTGAGCCGGGGGAGCAGGATCAACCCCCATCAGCCTCATGGCTCTATTTGTTCTTCATGCTGTACAATGAAGATACAGCCAAAAGCCTCTTGGACTTTCTCATGGTTTTACCTTGTAGAAGAATCTCCAGTGCTTTGTTAAGGGGTTAATGGGATACAGGAATAGGGCAGTCACCTTACAAAGGAGCCAGAAGAATTTATTTTCCACAAAGTATATCAGGTAAAGGCTATATGCCAAAATGCAAACCACATATTACGATGATAGTCGTGTTTCCTTAATATTGGATTTCTTCTGTTGGTAAGAATATCTGCCCTTGTAACTAAAAAAGATCATCAGTTCTTAGGCTGGATTCAGTGGCTCACACCTGTAATCCCAGCACTTTGGGAGGCTGAGGTGGGCGGATCACCTGAGGCTAGGAGTTCAAGACCAGCCTGGCCAATGTGGCAAAACCCTGTCTCTACCAAAAATACAGAAAAGTAGCCAGGACATGGTGGCACATGCCTGTAGTCCCAGCTACTCAGGAGGCTGAGGCAGGAGAATCGCTTGAACTTGGGAGGCAGAGGTTGCAGTGAGCAGAGATTGTGCCACTGCACTCCAGCCTGGGTAACAGAACAAGATTTCATCTCAAACCAAAAAGCTCATCTTAAAGCTGTATTGAAAGAGCCCCAAACCCAGCAGCTACACAGCAGGCGAATGGGATCTTCGCCAGAGATCTTCATCAGAACCATATTCCGTAAGGGGCATGCTGAATGCAATCCTCCAAGCTCAGAAGGAGACACCACTGCTAGAGACTGAGGCCCTTCTGAAGGTGGATAGGATCGTCTCGGGCAGCAAAGCTCTCCCAAGTCTACCTTAGTCATGCACAGTGTGGGATCTCGGCTGTAGTTGAGTAGATGTACTTTGTAGCCTCCCTTATGATCCGTTCGGGCCTGTGCTTGGAGGATTCAAGATCCCACGCTCGTCTTTTACTCCATTGCCCTGCTATGTCACTATCAAGCCAGTTGTCCTAATCCCTGCTAGAGTTCTTTTCCTATTTAAAACATTCAGGCCCTGAAGTCTCTGGGGTTATTTTTGTAGCATCATTGGATGTGCCTCACTCTGCTGCATTAGAACGTGAGAGTAAGTCTTTAGGCCCTTGGGGAAGGAGGTGATTCCTGAAAAAGAAATGAGAGGTGGCAAGTGCTTTTTTCCATGAAAGCGGGAAGTAAAGAGAACCATCTTTGTTCAAATCAGCATTCAACTCTTAAGTTTTAATTCAGAGTTAAATAAGCCTTGGGGAAAGGAGCTTGCACAACTGTTAATTTAGTGCTCTGTGCAATGTCAAACCCCATAGGACACAACGTTTTCACAGCTGTGAAATGTTCACAAGTTGGCCACCTCTGATCATGCACAGATAGTAGGTACCTCTCTTGTAAGCTCAGATCCAAAGATGGGTTTTAGAGCCTCTGAGCACTCCACAGGGTCAGGATGGGATCTGCCAGTGTGCCTTCTTAGAGACTGCCTTTTCCTCCAGCCAGCGGGTCCCTGAGCAGGGCCTCATCTAGGAGGATGGGGGAACAAATGCAGTGTGCCTCAGAAAACGGCAGAGATGTCTGCTTTCCACAGAACTCCAAGATACAGGGTCCTCTGGGCGTGGCTTTCACCCTCAGAAATGTGCCCTTCTCCACTTGGCTTTGCATCCCTTGAATTAGCTTCTTGGAGGGAAGAGACCAGAACAACCATTTATCAAGCACTTAGAATGTTCCAGGGCCTGTGCTAGGCACCCAACATATATTTCCTCCCTTCATCCTCAAGCTGAACAGGTGGGTGGTGATGTTTCTTTTAGCCAGTGTGGAAATGGAGGTTTGCAGCATTCAGCTTTCACTAAAGGCTTCAGAAGTGAATACAGTTTACCTGATATCCAAAAATGCAGTCATTCATTAATTGCTGCCCTCTGGCTTCCCCTAAAATGAATGAGTGATGAAAGAGAGCAAGGGGAAAGCCTCAGTGCATTTTAACCTAATCTCAGAAGCCCCATGCTTCTGTCATATTCTATTCACGAAAAGCAAGTCATCAAGGCCAGCCCACACTTCTCACGGGATGGGAAATTAGCTTCTACCCTTGAAGGGAAAAGTATCAAAGAATTTGTGGACACATTTTACAACCACCACAGTCACTACTGGCCAGTTGTCCTGAAGGTCAGCACTTGGTGCTCAGGGGAACTGTCAGCCACGTTCTCGGTCCTGGCTCCCAAGGCTGAGAGTTCTTTTAGGGCAGGGACCATGTCTTGATCACCACTGTAGCCACAGAACTGAGCACAGGACCTGCACATAGCAGGTGTTCAGTAAATGCTTGAGATATAAAATAGGTAATAAATTGAGAGTATGAAATAAGTAGGCCCTATTAATTATGGTAATAATGAGTTCTAGTGACATCTAGGCCTTCTGGAGCTTATCTAAGCTCACCCACTAACTAGCTGAGTAATCTCATGCAAGTTGTTTACCTTAGAAGGCCTCTAGGTTTAGAAAGGGGCTCTTTATAGTTCCTCTAAGTTCTAACTAGCTCTAGTAAAAAATATATACATATGTCTCAGGGAAAGGCTTTGCAGCTTCTACCACCAAGACAAATGTGAGGCTCTCCTCTGCCATTGCTTCCTGACTGAGGCTTCCTCTTCTCCTTCCAGATTGCCCTGCTCCCCAACAATGCTGCTGACTTGGGCAAGTATATTACTGGTGACAAGGTGCTGGCCTCAAACGCCTACCTTCCAGGACCTCCTGGCCTGCCTGGGGGCCAGGGCCCTCCCGGTGAGTTTGGAAGAGGGCATAGGAGGGTGATCACCATCAGAAAAAGGCTGCCAAAAGTTCAGAATGGGTGGGAGCTGGACAGTATTCTCCAGCTTCCATCGAGGAGAAACAGGCAAGTGTCCATGGGGCTGCCACACAGCCATGCAATGAGAGGGCCTTGGGAAATAGGCCCTCACGCCTGAGAAATCGTCACAGCCAATAGCAACTTGGAAGAAAAAACTCGTTGTGGGATTGGATAAGATTCCTAAAGATCATTTTAAGTTAAAAAACAAAATGAAAACTACCTTAAACTTTATTCTGGAAACATTCTAACTTACACAGAAATAGAACAGTATTATGGGCCACCCTCCCCGCCACCCGCCCGGCTCGAGGCTCATCACCCAGTTCTAATAACTCAGAGCCAGCCTCTTCCTACTACTCCCCAATCTTCCTTCCACCCTCCCTTATTGTTAGCATATTTATACCTGTATTTATTTTTATACCTAGCTATATGTTTTTATAAGTCAACTAACTGTATTGACTTACAAATGATACATAATATAATCACTTCAATTACAGTTTGAGTTACCCATATAACTCTCATCCTAGATTTCAAGATATAGGTCACTGGTTTTTTGTTTTTTTGCTTTTTGTGTGGTTTTTTTTTTTTTTGAGACAGAGTCTCACTCTGTCACCCAGGCTGAAGTGCAGTGGCGCAATCTCAACTCACAGCAACCTCTGCCTCCTGGTTTCAGGCGATTCTCCTGCCTCAGTCTCCTGAGTAGCTGGGACTACAGGCATGTGCCACCACACTCAGCTAATTTTTTGTATTTTTGGCAGAGACAGAATTTCACCATGTTAGCCAGGATGGTCTTGATCTCTTGACCTCGTGATCCTCCCGCCTTGGCCTCCCGAAGTGCAGGGATTACTTTGCAGTGCCGTGAGCCACTGCACCCAGCCTATATAGAACATTTCCATCACCCCAGAAATTTCCCTTGTGTCCATGTGCACATGTTTACTTCTACAACCCCCAGTCTAGGCAGACACTGGCCTGCTTCCTTTCACTGTAATGTCACCTGTTCTAGAACTCCATATCACTAGAATCTTTATATGTACTCTTCTTATGAATATATATTTTTGGCTTCTTTCAGTCAGCATACTGTTTCTGAAGATTCACCCTTATTAATTGGACCAAAATCCTGAACATCCTATCATTTCATCAGGAAATACACAATGAGAACTTAAAAAAAATAGTTCCAAGTTATTTTATATTTTGAGTCCCTCCATAGATAGAGCAATATATTTTTTTTCCTCTACGCTGGTAAGGGAAATGATATTAGTGTTAGCAAATGATTCTAAACCTGTGAGTGCCTTCTCCCTGGCTATCATTGTTTAGCAGTGTGCTAGGTGTTATGAATGACCTCTTGACATCCTAATTGGGAAGACCAGACACATAGGGCAAATGCAAATAGAATAGGACAGTATCCACAAGCCCTCCAGGTGAGTACACAGATGCTTCCAGCTGTGGGAACTTCAAGGTAGAGGACACTGTAGCCTGCAGTGATCAGTGGCATTTAGGTTTGATCTGGACGTGGAAGACTGGTAGAATTTGCCCAAGCAGGAAGGACACAGGTGGATTTTCAGTTGGAAAGTCAGCCGGAACAAAAGCTCAGAGTTCTTCACAGAGGATTTATGTGTTTCCTCTCCACTATGTCTTAAACTCTTCAAACACAAGTCTGGGTCTCAGTCCATCCAGAGAATAAGACGGTTCAGGATTTGTTTTATCCTTGTTCATTCCCTTGGCCTGAGGTACTCTGGGTTATGGTAGAGTTTTTTGCAGCAAACGCTTCACACAGGCACCCTCTGGCTGCTTCTAAACAGACTGGAGTCTCTCCTTATAAACCACTTCCCAGCACAGTGCTCTCTACCCCCATCTAAGAGAATGCTCTTGCTTTGCTTTCCTGGAGGAAGTCAACTCCAGGCCAGTCTATAGATCGCTGGAAGAAAAACAACTGTAGGAACAGGGGAGCCATTGGCTGTCTTGTTTAATAAATGCCTTGCAAGCTTTCTTCTCCAATGCTGCCATTTGGCTTATAACAGGGTTTGAGCTGTCCAGGGTCCTTGATGGAGCTGAGAGTGATTGAGAATGAATAAGCTTTGGCAACAGACCCGTCCTTTGAATGGGGACGTTCCAATCCCATATCCTTCTCTCTTAACTTCGAGTGTTTGTGGTACCCACCATTGAGACTTACTAGGGAAGCTAGAAAACTAATAGGCTTTCTCTCACCCTTAAATAAAAATCCAGTTCCGAGGCCTGTGGTGAATCAGACTGGAGCACCAATACAGGAAACTAGGCTGGGTTGGAATCTGTTTGACTTTGGTGGTAAGGGGGTGGCAGCTGCTTTCTGCCCTCTGCTGTCATACTTCAGGTGCTGCCATTTGTATATCAAAGTCCCACATTTCAAAGGCACTCAATATACTGTGATCTCGGTAGTCTACTGATTGTGTAACTGTAGGTGAGATATTATCTCTGGCCTCTTTTTGTGCTACTGGAGTTAAAATATTTAGTTAAAGGAGGGATCTGACACCCTTCCCAAACTTTGTAGATACACCTGGAGCCAGTATTAAGAGTAGGGGTGTGGACATGTTTGGATGGAACATTAACTGCTGTTGACTTTGGCTTAATTATTCTGTGAACTAAAAAAGACTCATCTAAATATGAAGAGTCTGAAGTCTTTGTTTCTTTGTTTTATTTTTCTGGAGTCTGAAAGTCATTCCATCCTGTCACTGCTCTGTCAGTACTAGGGGTTAGGTGTGATCAAAAAGTAATTACTATGTGCATTTAAAAGAACAATTATGAGAAAAGTATGGCATAGCAATCTTCTCAGTCTCTTCAATGCAATCATTTTAACGAGAAACATTTACTAAACAGCTTACTATGTATCCAGGACTGTCTGAGGATATGCTAATAAATAAGATACAATCCATATTCTCACAGAGCTGATGATCTAAAGTGGGTTAAAACCCAATGTTCTTCTACATACAGAAGAATGAGGATGGACCCTTACCTTACACCATATACAAAAGTTAACTCAAAATGAATTAAAGAGTGAAATGTAAGACCTGAAAACTATGAAAGTCCTAGAAAAAAACATAGAGGAAAGCTTTATGACATTGGATTTGGTGATGATTTCTTGGATATGGCCCCAAAAGCATAGGCAGCAAAAGCAGAAGTAGATAAATGGACTAGATCAAACTTAAATTTCTATGTCTCAAAGCAAACGATCAACAGACCAAAAACAACCTGCAGAATGGAAGAAAATAATTGTAAGTTGTATATCTGATAAGGGGTTAACATCTAGGATATATAAGAACTTCTATAATTCAACAAAAAAGCACCTGATTAAAAAGATGGGAAAAGGGCTTGAATAGACATTTCTCCAAAGAAAATATACAAATGGCCAAGAACCATATTAAAAGGTACTCAACATCACTGGTCATTAGAGCATTGCAAACCAAAACTACAGTGAGATACCATCCCACACCCAGTAGGATGGCGACTACTTAAAAAAATATATAAGCTAGGGAAACATAGGGAGACCCTGTCTGCATTAAAAAAATAAAAAATTAAACTAGCCAGGCTGTAGTCCCAGCTACTCAGCAGGCTGAGGTGGGAGGATCGCTTGAGCCCAGGAGGTCAAGCCCACAGTGAGCCGTGAACACAGCATCACATTCCTGCTTGAGTGACAGGACAATACCCCATCTCAAAAAGAAAAATGAGAGAAAATAAGTATTGACAGGGATGTGATAAAAGTGGAACCCTGTGCACTGTCGGTGTGAACATAAAATGACTCAATCACTATGGAAAAGAATATGGAGATTCATCAAAAAATTAAACATATCAGGAGACTTAAGCAGGAGGATCACATGGGCTCAGGAGTCCTGAGCCTAGGCAACAGAGAGGCCCTATCTAAAAAAAAAAACATACACAAACACACACACACACACACACACACACACACACACACACACACAAATACATACACCACACACAAATACAGACACACACACAAANCACACACACACACACACACACACACACACACACACACACAAATACATACACCACACACAAATACAGACACACACACAAATACATACACCACACACACACACACACACATACATACAACACACACACACACAAATACACACACAAACACAAATACATACAACACACACACACACACACAAATACACAAACACAAATACAACACACACACACACACACACACACATATGTATGTATGTATATATGTATATTTGATCCAGGAATCTCACTCCTGGATATATACCCCAAAGAACTAAAAGCAGGATCTTGAAGAGATATTTGCACACCCATCTTCATAGCAGCACTTTTCACAATAGTCAAGAGGTTGAAGTGACCCAAGTGTCCATCAATGGATAAGAATGGAAAAACAAAATGTGACATATACATACAATGGAATATTATTCAGCCTTTAAAAACATGGAAATTTTGACACAGGCTACAACATAGATGAATCTTAAGGATATTAGGCTAAGTGAAATAAGCTAGTCAAAAATGATAGACACTATAAAATTACACTTATATAAGGTATCTAAAATAATCAAACTCACAGAAACAGAAAGTAGAATAGTGGTTATCAAAGGCTAAGTGGAGTGGAAAATGGGGAGTTATTCAATGGCCTAGAGTTTCAGTTTTACAGGATGAGAAAGTCACAGAGATCTGTTGCACGACAATGGGAATGTACTTAACAAGACTAAACACTACATTTAAAATAGTTAAGATGGGCTGGGCATGGCCGCTCATGCCTGCACTTTGGGAGGTTGAGGCAGCCAGATAACTTGAGGTCAACCTGGCCAACATGATGAAACCCCGTCTGTACTAAAAATACAAAAAATTAGCCGGGGGTGGTGGTGGGTGCCTGTAATCCCAGCTACTTGGGAGGCTGAGGCAGGAGAATTGCTTGAACCTGGGAGACAGAGGTTGCAGTGAGCTGAGTTGCACTCTATCTCAAAAAAAAAAAAAAAGTTAAGATGGAAAAGTGTGTGTTGTGTATTTTTTATAAGTTTGTAAAAATGCTCTCCAGGCTCCCACTCCCTCTTCCCTCATCCCCCTAGCTGATGTTCAAGGCCTGAAGCAGAGGTGAACATGCTGACGTCTGCTTCCAGGTGCTGTCCCACACTTTACACAGCCACAGCCCTTCAGCCAGCAAGGTGCCCCCTGGAGTGCCCGCTGTGGGCAGACAGGCTGTGTTCCATACACAAGTGGGGAAACACCGCAAACCCAACCCAATACAAAGCAGCTGTTTACAGCTCTCTGTGCTGTGGGTCAAGATAGATGACGCCTAAAGGTCTCTTCCCCATCAGCTTCCATGATAAGGTGGTATAACGAGGTTCTGGCACAGGCAAACAACTGTCAGGCACAAAAACAGACGACTTCTTGTTTAACTCAGTTAATTTTGTGTCAATACTGTGTCACTAAAGGCCTCTGAATAGAATTTTAAAACACAACCCCTCAACATCTACAGAAATGGGCAGGTCACATAGGTACATAGGCGGAGCTGGGCAGGAGCACCTGGAAGCAGGGGCACTGAATCAAACCAGGGAGTACTCACCCGTGTACAGCGGCAGCCCCTACTGACAGCTCCAGTTGGTTGTGCTGATGATGGAATTGGGGTTTTCGTGCTTCCTGTTTCAAACCAGAGCCAGAAACCCAGATTTTTATATGAAATATCCCAATTTTTATTCATTTATTTATTTTTGAGTTGGAGTCTCACTCTGTTGCCCAGGCTGGAGTGCAGTGGCACAGTCTGGGCTCACTGCAACCTTTGCCTCCTGGGTTCAGGAGATTCTCCTGACATGGCCTCCCGAGCAACTGGGACTACAGGCACACACCACCATGCCCAGCTAATTTTTGTACTTTTAGTAGAGACAGGTTTCACCATGTTGGCCAGGCTGGTCTCAAACTCCTGACCTCAAGTGATCTGCCCGCCCCAGCCTCTCAAAGTGCTGGGATTACAGGCACGAGCCACTGCACCTGGCCCCAATTTGTAAATGTTACGAATGCTCAGAAGAAAATGGTATACATAAACAGAAAACACATGTGCAGTGTGTGAATGTATATAAACGTACCTTATAGATATGCTGCCAACATGTGCAATGAGGTAAGCAGTTAATTCTTACTTTCCAAGGCCTGTATCCACACAGCGCTGAGACTGTACCGAGTTTAAGAACAAGTCATCTGTTTTTGTGCCTGTCTGAGGATAGTTGTTTGTATGACGGGGGAGATGTTAAGACGTTTTTGGAGATAGGTGATCTGTGGGGATGGAGACGAGGCAGGAGAGGAGAGAAGAGTAGTCTGAGCTGGATCGTGTGCTGTGGCATGGTTTATTCAGGGAGGATGGGGACTACCGGGTGATGAAGGAGGCAATAGGGGGGAAAACGCTTGGCCAGAAAGACAGGAATGAACAAGGACACTATGCTGAGGAGTTTGAGCTTTATGCTTTATGAAGAGGGGAGCTACTATAGGGCTTCCTTTTTCTCCCTGAACTCCAATTACACTTATGTTAGACAGTTCAATACTATCCACCTCTTTTGGATGCTTCATTTTATTTTCCTCTTTGTGAGTCACTTTGAGTAACTATTGACTTACTTTTTCACTGATTCTTTGCTTAGCTGTGAGCAGTCTGCTGATGAGCCTATATCATTTTCCTCTATGATACTCTATTTTTTATTTCTGTTTGACTTTTTTCCTTTAATTTCCATCTCACCCAGTGCCTTACTCATCTGCTGAGACAAGCTGTTTATCTTTTCCACCAGCACCTTTCACATACTGTTATTTTAAAGCCCCATAGCTCATCATTCCAACATCTGGGTCTCCTCTGAGAATTGTTCTGCTGATTGTTCTATCACTTGACAATGTGGTTTTTGGTTTACCCTTTTTTTTTTTTTTTTTTTAAGATGGAGTCTCACTCTGTCACTCCGGCTACAGTAGTGCGATCTCGGCTCACTACAACTTCCACCTCCTGAGTAGCTGGGATTACAGGCACCCGCTACTGCGCCTGGCTAATTTTTTTTTTTTTTTAGGTGGGGAGGATGGAGTTTGGCTCTTGTTACCCAGGCTGGAATGCAATGGCTAGATCTCAGCTCACCGCAGCCTCTGCCTCCTGGGTTCAGGCAATTCTCCTGCCTCAGCCTCCTGAGTAGCTGGGATTACAGGCACGCACCACCATGCCCAGCTAATTTTTTGTACTTTTAGTAGAGATGGGGTTTCACCATGTTGGCCAGGCTGCTCTCAAACTCCTGACCTCAGGTGATCCGCCCACCTCAGCCTCCCAAAGTGCTAGGATTACAGGCATGAGCCAGTGTGCCCAGCCCTTTTTGCTATGTGCCTGAAAATTTTGGATTGAATGCCAGACATCATTTGCAGAGAAACAGTAGAGACAGGTATGTAGTTATCACTCCTGGAGAGGGGTACCCTCTTCTTTGGTCAGGCCACTGCCATGGGAAGCTGAGTCAGTCCAATGAATAACTGAACTGGATTTTGGCTTTATCGTCACTATATTTACTTTGTGTCCCACAGTCTTCAAATAATTCCTCCAGTGGTAGGATCCTATTTCCTTGTGCTTAGTGGAGGCCTAGGTTGCCAGTGGATTTTTCTCAGTGTTTATACTCTTTAGGTTTCAGCAACCCCTACACACACACCTGTGCCACAGATGGGTTCTCTCCACACACTTGCCCTTCCCCCAATGGTAGATTGCTATGACTTACTCCATGCTAGAGCTGTGGGGCAAGGGGACATTTTCATTTCTCCTGCTCCAGCTGGAATCCTAAGCATGCCCTATACTTCTGGGCCTTGAGGTGAGATCATCTTCCCCAGAGCCCCCGACTCATCCCCCAGCATGCCTTGTATCTGTGGCAAATCTTGGCCAGAAGAACATTTCCTACCCCTCACTAAGATGTAATGGATATTTCTCTGGGGCCTGCAAGAGAGAGTGAGTTTGCTGACCCACCCAGTGCCTTGAGACATTTGCACCAAAAGGGGCAAAAGTAGGTGGGTTACATAGTAAGACTGGTTTTTGATATGTCATCGCTGTAGAAATGTCAAAAATGGGCAAAGGGCAAACAAGACTGGTGTGGGGCAGAGAGATTAGCAATGAGGCAAGAGTGAAAGCAAATATAAGGAAGGCCTCACAGATTTGTTTTTGTACTTAATATGTGCAGAGTACTATACTCAGTGGTGTGTGTATATCTGGAATCTCATTTAATAGAACTACGCTATAAGAGGATTTTTATTAGCCCAGATGAGATGAGAAACGAAGGCTCAGGTAGCTCAGGCAAGCTGTGAAAGATTTAAACCCAAGTCTCCCTGATGCTCAACCCTGTCCTCTTAACTGCTCTCCGGCCACAGTAACCACTTCGCCGCTGTGGTAGTCACTACTCTGCTGTGATCCAGGAAACAGAGGGGAGCAGACAGCTGTGAGATGTGAAAGAGGTGAAGTGCACAGGAGCTGGCCACTAATTCAAACAGGAGAAATAGGGAAACACAGAGGAAGACTCTCCAGTTTTTTACTTGAGTGGATGGGCGACTGGCGGTGCGTGAAAAGAGAGGAAGATGGGGAAGCCACTTTTCATCTAATCGAGTTTAAAATGCCCGTGGGACATCCTGATGCAGATGTCAGAAGGCAAAGGCAGAGAGAGAGCAAACAGAAATGGCTGCAGGGGCCCGGGACTCTTGTTAGCCAGGGCCCTTTGTCCTTCTCGTGTGCTGTGAGCTAATGAGGTGTTCTTTGATTACAGGCTCACCAGGACCAAAGGGAAGCCCAGGCTTCCCCGGTATGCCAGGCCCTCCTGGGCAGCCCGGCCCTCGGGGCTCAATGGGACCCATGGGACCATCTCCTGATCTGTCCCACATTAAACAAGGCCGAAGGGGCCCTGTGGTCAGTATCTTATCAGAGATCTGCTTCCTGTGTGGGGAAAGTGTGTTTTTGTCTCATGCTTTTGCCTTTGGTTAAGCCAGATCCTTTTGTATTGTAGGGTCCACCAGGTGCACCAGGAAGAGATGGTTCTAAGGTAAGTCTTTTGAGTGGTCCTCACAAGCTGAAGGTCTCCCCCTTTCAATTTTTTTTTTTAGACAGAGTCTTGCTCTGTTGCCCAGGCTGGAGTACAGTGGTGTAATCTCAGCTCATTACAACCTCTGCCTCCCCAGTTCAAGCAATTCTCCCTGCCTCAGCCTCTTGAGGAGCTGGGATTACAGGTGCCTGCCATGACACCCAGCTAATTTTTGTATTTTTAGTAGAGACAGGGTTTCATCATGTTGGTCAGGCTGGTCTGGAACTCTTGACCTCAGGCGATCTGCCCACCTCAGCCTCCCAAAGTGCTAGGATTGAGCACTGTACCCGGCCTCAGGCCTTTTTTTTTTTTTTTTTTTTTTTTTGGAGACAGGGTCTGGCTCTGTCATCCAGGTTGGAGTGCAGTGGCACAATCCCAGCTCACTGCAACCTCCGCCTCCCGAGCTCAAGCCGAGTTGTCCTGTCTCAGCCTCCCGAGTAGCTGGGAACACAGGCATGTACCTGTGTTTTTGGATTTTTTAGTAGAAACGGGATTTTGCCACGTTACCCAGGCTGGCCTCAAACCCCTGAGCTCAGATGATCTGCCCATCTCGGCCTCCCAAAGTGCTGGGATTTCAGGCATGAATCACTGCTCCCAGCCTGAGGGTCTCTCACTTTCTACCTCTTGCACTAGCATCTGGGAAAGCTCAACACACACTGTTTACCATCCCCATTTTGCATTCAGCAAAACCGAGACTCAGATACCAGATACAACTTTTTCCCCAAAGCTTGTAACAAAATCTGAGTAGCCACTTTTTAAATTGCAGAATCATCCCAGAAGACAGAAACAACCACCACAACCAGTCGTAGGAAAAATGACCCTGATACATTTTAAATAAGCCTCTGCGTTGTGACAGTCACATGTGTTTTTCTCCTTAACCAGTGTTGCTTCACAGGATAGTTTTGTGTGTGTTTCCATTTCTGAGAGGTTTTCAAATCAGGAACAGGACTTGAAAACCTATTCTTTTGCAAGCAGGTAGTTCCCCTGTGAGAGCTGCCTGCTCTTTTTTTGCCTCACAAAGAAGTCAGTATGAGTTACTTCAGAAAGTTTGTTACTCCACACGCTGCTGGGAAATAGGAACGTTCCTCTTGCCAGGAAGGTTTGAAAATACATGGGCTCGAGGGAAATCAGAATGAGAGACACTTAACCCAAGCATGCTGTTCATATAAGTGGTCCCATGAGTCCAGCTCAGTTTTACATATGGTTTCTATAGAAAATATTTGTGGTTTTGTGCAGGGAAGTGGCTATGGTGGGTGTATAAAGAGAGACCATTGCTGTGGCAGCCACGTGCTCTAGAAAGCTAACCCTGGCCTCTCTGTTTTTAGGGGGAGAGAGGAGCTCCTGGGCCCAGAGGGTCTCCGGTAAGTAGCACTCTCTGTCCTGCTTCCCCAGGGGAACGTTCTCAGAGATGCAGCTCTGATGAGCCTGTAGGTTGGTCTAGTAGGAAAAGCCCGCCCCTTCCTGATGCCACTCAGCCCACCTGAATAGAAGTATGTGGTTAGGAAGAGAGTCATAGAAACCCTAAGCTGCTAGTTTGGATTTATTTTTCAAATTTGTTTTCTGTTGTTTTTTCTTTTATCATGGCTAATTTTTTTTTTTT